TATATATATATATATTATATATATATATATATATATGTATATATGTATGCCATGTACATATATATTTTCAGTACTGGCAATGAATTTTGCGATACAACCTATATTGATCTATATAAAGTTATGTTAAATTAATCTATTTTATATAAGATATAGGTTTATTTGTACTTTATAATTTTTTTAAATTACATTTATAATATACAAATAAGAAAAAAAAGTTTAATTTTACACTTGTTTTGTATTTGTATTTTCCTTGGATATATAATTTATAATGCAGTTTTATTCTTTTTCGTTTAAATTAATTATTTAATTTTATTTGTATTCTTATTCAGAAAAAAGCTCAAGAGAGCATCAATACCAGATTAGCTCTTGTCATGAAATCTGGTAAATATGTTCTTGGGTATAAGCAAACTCTGAAGTCTCTTCGTCAAGGCAAAGCTAAATTGGTTATCATCGCTAGCAATACACCACCGTTAAGGTGAGACTGAGAAGTAACACTCCTTTTATAAATTGACATAGACATTTCTTTTATAAATTAAAGTAATTATAAACATAAGAAATATCATAGCAAGTGTGTGTGTGCGTGCGTGCGTGCACATATGTAAAACTTATGCACAAGTTTTTCTGCTAAATTTGTATAAATAAAGTATGAAATATCTCTTTAGTGACACAATCAGTAGCAATGACTATGTCAATTCATGTAAAAAATTAATTAGGAGTGGTATGGAGTAGTCTCTTGTTCTTGCATAGGACATTTATTTTAATTTCAATCATATTTTTTTCTAAACAAATTTTATCTCAATTTAACAGGAAGTCAGAGATTGAGTACTATGCTATGTTAGCTAAGACTGGTGTACATCATTACACAGGAAACAACATTGAACTTGGAACAGCTTGTGGCAAATATTTCCGTGTTTGTACTCTTTCAATTACAGATCCTGGTAATTCGGATATTATAAAGTCAATGCCAACTGGTGATCAAGCGTAATATGTTATACTTTTGTCTTAATAAATAATTTAAAAATCTTAAAACTTCGTGATAGTTTTACTGATACTCCTTTCTTTAACTCTATTTTGTTACTAACAATAAGTAACATATATGTAGTCTGAATACATTATATATTTATTATACTATATTATATTTCCAGTATAAACAAGCCTCATGACAAATAAGATCATAATTTACAAATATTGGTAATCTTTTTTTATGATTTTTTTAACGTGCTCTCAAGTCTGTTCTACATTGGTCGCGTTCAGCAGATACAACTGTTGGGTGAGTATCTGCTGAACGCACTCTGCTCAGTCACTGCTACTCAACATGTTTAGAGAGCGGACGCCATTTTTTCCATCGAAGTTTTTCTCTGCTACCTAAGCGTAACATGTTGTAAAAGAATATGGCGACACACATATGAGAAATGTAAACACGGGTAATTTTGATTTGTATGTAAGAGAAAATGAATTCTGAAAACATCAAAATCTATAGTGTTGTTTTTGCCATTATTCATAGCAAATAAAACAATCATATTTAAATTGTCCATTGCAAATTGTAAATTATAACACTTAATTTTTTTATAATTTGGTAATATTTTGTTTTCCATTGTTTAGTTTATTATAAATAAACACACTGAGAGGTTATGTTTAGGCTTTATTAAAAAACAGTGTAGGGTCACGTGACATGTTATACAGATCTGAAGTTAAAGACCGTTCAGCAAACATGATCTATGGGTGTGTTTAGCCGAAGCTAGCGCTACGTAGCGCTACGTAGCG